TAGAGATTTTTTTGTTTGTGGAAACTCTTGGGAGAACTTGAGTGTGATATATGTAGAAATCAATATATATATTTATACACATCTTGGAAAGGCCAAACCTATTGCATGACCAATAGCAACAATATAGAAAAGCCAAAAAAATCATTTTTATATATTACTAAAGTAGAGAAAACAAAACATTATATGTGAGAACCAATTTGCAAAACTTGACCATTGCATATGATTGATGTATTGGCAAAAGTTAACAGCTTTTTTGGTTTTCAAAATTAATGTTTTCTATGACATCTCATAAACTTAATATAAGCTTAAAATACAATATCAAATAAGCTTAAAACTTGTAAGAATGGGGGGAGAGGGGGAGAGGGTGAGAGGGGGGGTTTACGAAACAAAATAATACATTCAATATAGAATATATAGAATCACAATGCTACAACTTTTTAAAATCTTTGCATTGGAAAACAGTTTTTTTAGTATTTTCATTTCCAATATAGTTCATAACGGATTATAAGAGAAAGATTATTTGGTTAACAAAAAAAAAACTATTCAGTAACTTATTTAAGTTGTAACGTACTGACATTAAAGGTCCATCATATTCACGAATGATATAAGTTCATAACAATGCAAATGATTTTTGGCAAAGTACATTTAAACATAATTAAAAGTCTCTGCAAATCTTAAAATTAAAAGAGAGTCAAATAACAAAAAACAAAAAGAGATAACAGGAATATATCAAAGTACAAACTGATAAAACAGATGATTCAATTTTATCCTCCTAGCTTTGTCTTAGTTAGAATCCACTTCCTCCATCTGATCATCATTTGCCTCGGCGATTGCAAATGATCGACTAAATTATAAAAAGCAAAGAGGAAATATTAGTTATCTTAATCTCATATTAATTAAAATATAAGAAAACCATAAAGTATGAAATTACATGTATCTGTAGTTATCGAAATCTGAAAATTGTTCATCAATAAAAACCCTTGAACAGCCAGCTACACTCATTAAGCAAGGTGACCCTATAGAGGAATTAACAAAGAGAGTTTTAGATTAAATAAATATGCATATATAGTTTTTGATCAAATTAATAGAAATAATGTAATTCAATATAGTTAAGCACCTTTTATTTCTGAGATCCTCCAGAATCGCATAACAGCCACGATAGGATCATTGTTGTATCTAAGAGAACTTAAACGTGTAGACAATTTGTTAACAAACATCTCACAAGACTCTCCAACTGCAACACATATCATCTTTTTGCCACTAAAAATATAAATAACATAGAGATTATTCAGGTTAATACAATCTAGCTTCCTAAAATTCTAATGTAACAGTAAACATAATAAACAGAGAAGCTAAACTTACTCATTGTCCTTAATCTTGAACATCACATGTCTTGCTTCATAATCAGTTTGTCCTATACCACAGACAAAAGGCACTGTTCGAATGGGAGACACACTTGTTATCAAACCAATAGCATCTACACAGGAAAACAAATATATTCAGATTAATGACTCTTGACAATATATCTAAATTATGTATATAGAACTTACCAGTTACATACTCCTTTTCTTGTGTTCCAGCATATTTGATTTCATCATAATCAATGAAATCCATGTAATTGTTGATTGATCTAGGAGTTATGTGAACCATTTTTGTTTCCCACTTACATTGAATCATGAAAGGGTGCCAAGAGTATCTAGAAATGGGATTTTGGGGAACAACGTTGAAATCAGACATGAAGTACCATTCACCTTCTTTGAGATTCTTTTTGAAATTGTGTCTGTAGAGACCATTTGGGATTACAGCATCGATTTTGTTTGCCTACATAAGAGATTTTATAAGAGTTGTGATATTGTAAGATGTCCACAACTAAGTCTGTGATAAAACAAATAAAACTAAAAATAAACTATAACTCATAAGTAACACATACCTTCTCATCAACCAAAATCATGCTTGTAACCATACTCGAATTTGGTGTGGAATGAAGATTCCAAATACTCAAGATCTTTAAATGAACCTTCCAGTTCATTCTCTCGTTGTTCAAATCAGAAACAAAATCCATGGGATAGGAAGAGTTTGACATTTAGGTTTAGTTTAACTTCACGGTTGTCTTGTTAATGGAAGAGAAGAGAATTAGAGAGCAAACAAAATAAATATAAGTTGGTTAAAAATTTTTATAGGCTGGATTCTGATAATTTAAACAAATACTAATAAGTATAACATTCCTTTCAAAAAACTACTCAAGTGTTTTGTTTACGTTTTATGTCAGCTAGAAATGATAGACATTGGGTATATCAAAAGCCAAAAATCCGGTTTTGAATGATGACTGTTGTTTTACAGTATAGGATTTTATTAGTTTTACTTCCCAATGAAGTATTTCTATATATAGATGAATACAAATCATTTCGATAGTAGCTAATAATATATTTTATAGATTGGGGAACCTACATTTTTCCAAAAGGCTTTTGATTGGTTTTGAGAAGATTTTGAGTGAACTGTTAAATCAAAAGAAATCTATATACTTTGTCGTTTAGTAGCTCTTATGATAATAATTTAGAAAACATCAAACCAATGGAATATAAAGAGTTAAGGAGATTATAAAGAGTTATGAAATTAAAATGTTATAGAGCAATTCATGAGATTAACTTGATAGCAAATGTAGGATAACATTGTTTGAAACATAAATAAAAAAATTATCAAGCCGAAATTTGAATCATAACAACCTAAATAGATAAAACCAATGAAAATAAAACATCAAGGGAACTTCCATCATCAGATTCTCTTAGTCATCATCATCTTCATGTTCATCTTCATCAGTGAAGCTACGACTGTGAAATAACATAGACCAAATTAGTGTGTCTCCTTGTAACATTAATAGTCAAATGTATAATTGGTAAAAATGACACTTACACGTATTGTGGAATATCCAAGTCATGAAAAGTTGAATCAAGGTACAAACGGGAACAACCAAATTCACTCATCAAGACATTTCTTCCTATAGAACAATTATAAAATATATAATTTAGAAATATTAACTATTTCAAACACATAAGATAGTCTAATTAACAAAAGGAAACAAAGAATTTTTAGAACTAACCATCAAACTCTGTAATTCTCTAGTTGCGAAGAACAGCCACGATTGGTTCATAATTATAAATCACCGAGTCGACCTTAGCAGACCAGTTGGTCATAAAGAAATCACAACACGTACCAACAACAATGCACTCAATTATTCCACCCCTAAATGATATTTCATGAATTGCATTATGCTTATATGCTCTGAAAATATCAAAAAACATCTTTGATCTTACATATAGAATAGAATATATTAAGAGAAAAACTTACATATTGTCCTTTATCTTAAAAGCCACAAATCTTGACTCATTGTCTGACCCTCCCCGAGGACACACATAAGGAAATCTTCGATCAATATTGACACCAGCAATCACACCAATAGCATCTAAACTCAAAAAATGAACAATAAAAACCAACTATAATCAGTAATATAAAATATATGGATTCCACATTAAAAAAATTTCTAGAAATCTTTACCAGTCACAAATTCTTTATTCGATTCCATAGCATACTGGACTTCAATAGGAAAAACAAACTCAAAGAAGTTACTCCATGATCTCTGTTTCACAGGCCACATTCCTGTTTCCGAGATAAACCTGATTTCAAATAGAGATGGTGTATATCTGATTCTGTTCTCTGGTTGGATAACCTGGAAATCAGACAGATGAAACCAGAATCCTTCTTTCAGTAATGGTCGAAAATTCCAAAGGTATGTTCCAGATGGAATCCTTGCATCGATTCTTCTACCCTACAGAACCAAAAACATTTTAAGTACTTGTATGATAAACATAAAAATAGTTTTATTGCAAGATAAAACTAAATAGAAAGTAAAAGCTTGATACATTTTCATCTCCCAACATCATGATTGTTTCAGATCCAGCAGAACCCAAATCCTCTTCCCACATACACATAATCTTAACATAAATCCTCCATGTTGTAGAGTGTACATGCAAATCAGATACATTGTGAACCAACTCCATGGGATATACACGTTTGTTTCTTTGCATTGAATGTAGAGGAGTCGATGGTTTCTGTGATGATATGAGAAGAAAATATAGGTATATATAAACGAATATGAGTGAACAGATTCAAAGAATATAGTTAGGATTAGATATGGAAATATGAATCGTTTCGATGTGTTTGTTTGATATATCTCATTTATGATTATTTAAATATGAGGTAGATAATGATTAAAAATGATTGCATATAATCACAGTTTCCATAAATTTAGGTCTTCAAGATACTCAATATTGAATCCGGATTCAAGATAAATTATTAGGAAGCTGTTGTAGAACTTGTTTTAGATTTTGGATATAATTTAGATATTTTATTGTTATTAAGATTACAAAATTATATTAACAAATTTATGAAGAATCTAAACTTACATACAACTAATTCAACTGATATTGTGTATTAATTAACTGTTTGTTGATTTATTTGCAGGATTATGCTAAAACACTTAAAAAAAATTGGATAAATATCAGTCTGGACAAAGCGATTAAAATAAGTAAGTCTTGTTAAAGTCATCATGCTATAGTTTAATTTGAGTTATAATGGTTTTAGGATTATGGATAGTTTCTAAAGTAGAATAAATAAGATATGTCTTTTGTTAGATATACCGGAGAAAGCATATGATTATGGCTTGGTCTCTTCTCCACGATCCAATCTGATATGAACATATGTAATTAGGCCATACTAAAGAGTTCTATTATAAGTTTTGGCTTAAATAGTGGTTCTGGAATCGTTATTGTTAGGAGGATAGAACAAATAATCAAATAAGTAACACAACAATGATAAACCTTCTGAAATAAAACTCTTAGATAGAAATTTAAACATAAGGAAAAAATGTTTGATAAGATGTTGTTTGAAAAAACAGAACATAAAAAATAGGATAGAAATGTAAGAAAAAAACCTAATAGAAAAAGAAAACAAAAAAAACAATCCATGAGATCAACATTATTTTAAATAGTTGAGTCTTCCCTCAACTCACTTTGCTCCCTTCTGGCCTTCGAGCTTCTCAACCTTAATCTTCTTCAAAAGAACTTTCTTCTGTTCTGCTTCAGTTACTTTGTTGATGGCTTCTAGACCTGCCTCATCAAGTTTGTGTATGAACTTAGGCTGATCATGTTCCTTCGAATTGTCTACAGCAATGACACCATCGACTTTAACATCAGTAGACTGATCATTTTTCTCCGGAGTGTCTAAATCAATGACACCATTGTCTTTCACATCAGATTGTGTTCCAGTGCATTGTTTCTTGCTTGTGGAGTTTTGATCAGATCTATCCGAAGTATCTTCTTTTCTCTTTGATGATGGTGTAGACAGTGAAGTATTAGTAGTGTCATCATGATGAGAACTATTAGTCAGCATCAAAACCTAAAAACATTATGAATTTTTAATTAGGCGAGTAAGGAACAACAAAGATTATCACATCATATAAATCACACTGAAATGAGGAAAATGTATTACCTGGTCACTGGAACTCATGGATGAAAGATCAACAGGATAATCAACTTCAGGTTCAAGGGCAGGGTGATTAAGGTTCTGACTTGTTAAAACCTCAGAAACTTTGTATTCATCATTTCCTCTTGAGATATTATCTTGCTCAACACAAAGAGCAAACTGGTATGTTTTACCAATGATGTTTTTCACAACATCAGGGAGTGGCAGGGGATCATCAAGCTGCATTTAATAGTATACAGGAAGGGTAGCATATATTTACCAAAAAGTAAATAAAACGAAATGTAATGAATACAATTAGAAAATACCTCTTCAGTTGTGGGATCCACGAGATCACAAGCTGGAATACCTATGATTTGTTCAACAAAACTATCAAACAACATAAGTTTGCTCTCCCCTGTGTTATCCATAACGTCTAGATGCAGCCAGTACCTATGCAATTAAGAATTATATTCAATATAAATAAAAATTTATGGTAGAATATGATAAAAGTAAAGGCAGATACCAAATAGTATAGCAACAATTACCTTGCTTCAACAGAAGATACGTTTGTATTACATTTATCACACCTCCAAATTATCTTCTTGGCACCAGAGCTAAGAAGTTTATTGCTTTTGAGAACTTTTCTGTTACATTTGATGTGGGCAAAATAATACCAGGACCAGTCCAAGTCAATTGACAAAATGGTACAGATGAGCTTGACCTTTTCAACCTTAGAACAGATGAAGGAGTCAGCTAAATTAGCTAACTAAGATAAAAATAATAAAAGACAACAAATATTAAATCTGTGATACCTCGAGAGAGGCCTTTAGCTCAGCAATAGTCTTCCTTGGGAATTGTTTGGATCTCTCTTCACGCACCTTAAGAGGCTGGAATCTAGGTTTAGGTTCCATTATTGTCAATGCAAGTCCATCAGAAGGAAGCCTGAGAAACGCAGAATTAGTTAGTTTTCGTAATTTATATTTAGATATATAAAGAGACAGTTAGATGAAAATACAACACTCACATTTGCCTAAAATCATCCACCTCTGTCAAGACAGGGTTGATCAAAACGTCAGAAGCATCAAAAGAGTTTGAAATACTTCTAATTTCTGAAAAACAGAATGGTTTTCAATCAGTAACAATATTTTACGTAATATATGGAGTTATCCGACAAATATGTCATGCAATACCTTTGTAATGGCACAACTTAGCCCACCGGATCAAACAAATGACCTGTCCCCCAATAGAATCTTTTGACACTTTGCTAATTTGATCAGCAAATCTTCCCCACAGTGAACATGGTAGACGGTTATCGCTAAAGATAGAAATTCAAAATCAAAAGTAAATATGATCAAAATAAACTCTAAAGAAAGACTTATTATAGATATTATATAAAACACTCACTCAGTGTCTCTTAGTTGGAAATCAATCTTCTTGGTAGGCTTGCCTTTGACATCCACGCTTTGGATTTCCCCAACATTCACCAGTTGGCCAATGATATCTATAGCAAAGGTAAAACACATTATTTAGTACAATATACATGTACAAAAACTCACAAAAAAGTAAGCTTTTAAAAAAACTCACCAACCAACTTGTTTTGATCTAAGGTACCACTTAGTACTGAATTAAAAGGAACTAAATCTAGCCAAATCGATTCTGAAATCTTCTCAGAGGGGGAGATGACAGTAGAGTACTCAAATACAATTCTGTAGTTATGAGTTGTTGGTCGATACATTCCTGTTGCCTTCTTCACTGAAAACTCGTCAAATATTCTCCACTCTCCTTTCGTGATATTCCTTTGCAACTTCTGGAGGTGTTCTTTCTTAATTCCTGCTTGAATCTTGTTACCCTGCGTTTATAAGAAATAAATGGTAAACCAATCTACTAACATAAATACTTAAAACAGTTTGCTAAACACTTATTCATTGTTGACAAACAAAATCCTACTTACATCAGCATCAACCAAGACCATTTCAAAAGACATCCCAGCACCCTGAGTATAATGATTCCACGTATGCAGAATCTTAGCTTGAATACGCCAGGAAGTCTTGAAAGGTTTCAAGTCTTTGATAGGAGTGTAGGGACTGACAATGGCCATTTTGAAGGGTTTTGTTTCGTGTACTAAGGTGATTTTGTGAGAATGCACTAAAGCAGTCTCGTAGTTAATTCAATTTAAAAGCATTGAAGGAGGGCTTTGTTAGATATAGTATCTCCGAAAAATATTACGAAATGTTTTTTTAGCTAATTAAAATTAGTTGTGAAATTTAATCCATATAGGTATATTCTCTATTAGGTGGAATATTGTGACTGAAACTAATCTAAAGATATTAGTTTATAAAATATAAATGATAATTTTTATTTTTATTAGTTTCAATTCGGATTATTCTTAACATCAAAGAAATAAATGGTTTTTAATCTTATCACTATCGAAACCGTATTGATAAGATTTAGATCTTCATCCTCATATCGTATATGTCATTTCAAATATCAAATACAATCTAAAATTAGTTAGAAAATGAACCGAATACCTAATAGTTTTGGATTAGTTTTGTTTTGATTTTAAACTTATATAAAGCTCTCTTTTAAATATGAAATTATATATATATATATTATATATATATACTGGATTAGTTTTGTTTTGATTTACATTGATGAAATAGTCAATCTTTAACATATAAATTAAACAAAAATATACAAATATTCGAATCATGTCTATAAGACATAAAATATGTAAAAATATAAAAACATACGATAACATACAACGTAAAAATATACAATTATTCGAATGTGATAGAATATATGTAAGAAAAGCTTTTCACGTTTACAAAGACTCGATATGAAGAGGCACGGAATATATTCCACGTTTCCTTTAAAAACTTTTATGAGATAGGGTGTTTTGTAATATATGTAAGTAATTAGGAATTAATTGGTAGTTGTTGTTGTTTATGGGAAAAACGTGAAAGATCTTATTGTTATGTGAATCTTCTTAAACCCGTTTGTAAACCCGTTGACCCATGATTAGTGAAATGGATAGTGTGCTAATTGTCTATAATAACCTTAATGAATTTGTTCTAAAATGAGCTTTTTGTAATGGCATTCTCATGTAATTTTTTACAAAAAAGAAGGTTAGTAAGGGGTTTCTAATAAATTGTACTCCCCAAATAATAGTATAGGATTATATATTCATGTAATATCAAGGTGTGAAAACCCTATGTACATAGATATGTAAAGAATTCTCAACCATTATTCTTAAACCAAAAATCTCTATCAAAACCGGTCCAACACCAGAACAGCTTGATGATCTAAATAGACAAATCAGTTTCTTTAAAATTATTAATATGCACCACTCTGTAATTAGAAGGAGAATAAGAAAAAAGGAGAAAACGAAGGTAGCTTGTCGGTGTCACGTGGGGAAGAACAGGTGAAAACAAACGAACAATAATTTGGAAAAACAAAAATGAGAGTTTAACCAAAAAAAAAATGTGAATCATGTGATGGATCGAATTAGGTATATTCTTTGTAGCTCTTTAGTATTCACAGCCTCAGCTTTGCTCTTATCCAAACGAGTGGCCCGCAT